GACGAACATTCTAATTTTGGGGAGATAATGTTATGATACGACATGAGCCAGATTATAGATTCTGGGCATCCTGTATAATACGAAGGACGAAGAGTCTAAACATTCCTGATCGGGGTTACCCCTCACCTACTGTATAGAAGGGTTCCGAACTATAAAGGAGCGTGAGGCTGAGACATCCCTGAAGAAGGATAACACTTTTTAGACATCGAGAATACGACAGATAGACTAGGCCTATCCACTAAGGCTGAACTATCTATAAACCGATCTACTCGTAGTTTAAGAGACAGCTCCAGGCTGTTTCATAATATATTCCGGTTGCGGCCATACCATGCAGGAAGCACTGTTTCCCGTCCGATCAACGTTAGTTAAGCTGCATAGGGCCACACTGAGTAGTGTAGTGGGAGACCATATGCGAAATTGTGGTGCTGCAATCTTTTTGTAGATTCTTGCTGCAGTTGTTTTTAGATGCCAGAAGTAAAAACAGTCTTTTCAGTCCGCACTTTCCTAGTTCTTCTCCAAGAGATATAGAGTCTAATTGCATGGCTTGCGATGCATTATTCAGCATTTCTGAAGTGATGCTTTTGGTTTGTGGTGAATTAAGGACCCGTGAGCGGGCTAAGATCTAAGAATATGTTCTAAAGAAGACATACAGTTTTTCCAGTAAGGCAGAAGTTTTCAGGATGCACAGGCCTTCGAAAAAACTGTACTAATTCATGTAGCTTGTATAACAGTGCCACGTCTTCTTTGCACAGAGTATCCTTCCGTATTTACAGATCATTAGGAGCTAAGAAGAGAAGAGCAATAAAGATGCAATCTGGGATTGGGGTTGTCAGAACAGGGAAAGGAAAGAAAGGGAAATTATTCTAAATACTCATCCTTGACGAACTTGATATTTATAATAATTGAAGACCACGATATTCCAGTTATACACTCGAGACGGGGCGAAGTGAATCACCTCTGAGTTAGAGCGACTACTGCACGATACTTATTCTAGAAACCAATGACGTGAACTTAAACTTAGAGAGAAGCGGGCCACGAGGACCGTCCAGACCCTGACTAATGGAAGGAGACTGTCGTTTTTTGAAATTGTATACATGTTTAAATTTTGTGTATTATTTTGTAGTTTTGCTCCTTCTATTAAAAGAATCTTCCCAAAACATACGATTTCATGGTCGTGCGACTCGTTTATGCCTATTTTGAAGTATCAACACATCACAGCCGGATAATAGAAGGCTTGTTTTCAGGATTAAGATCAGGAAGAAAGAAGGAAGAATAGTAAGTAGTGTTCCAGGTTGTTCGAGAAAGTCATGAAGAGGGGTTAATTATGCCCCCAATAGTTATGTATTATGATATTATATATGGCAGAAAAGTAATTAAGCTTGGATCTCAACTCCAAAAAGACGTTTTGGAAGAATGTCATAAAGCAGGGCATAAAGAATGTTATGAAGAGTGTCATGAAAGATGTCATACAGAATGACATGGAGACTGTCATAAAGAGACATCAAGAATGACATAGAGTTTTTTAGAATTTTATGAAGCCATTCCAAAGAGAATGTCCTAGCAAATGTCATGAAACATGTCATAAGGACTGTCATAAAGAATGTCTTGAAAGGTTGTCATCAGAGTGTTCCAATGAGAATGTCCAGAGAATGTCCAGAGAATGTCCAGAGAATGTCATGACGCATGTCAGGACCGCATAAAAAGTCTTCACAGCTTTTCATAAAACAGTTTCAAAAGAATGTCATCAAGAATGTCATGAAGGATATCATAAAGAAGTCATGAATAATGTCGTCAAAGCTTTTCACAAAACAATTTCAAAGAGAATGTCATAAAGGCTGTCACAAAAAACTACGTAAAACATGCTATAACGGGTGTCATGAGGAATTTCATAACCAAAGAAATGCCTTAAAGAAAGTACATCCAAAGGGAGTGAAAGAAAAAACGTGAAAAAGAAGATCCGAAATCACGAGAAGCAACCATACAAGGTGTTTTCTGACAGGCCAGCGAACACGCGAATGAACAGAACGGGCCGAGGCCCCACGTTAATTTCCCAAGCATCCGGCACCTCGGCCGAGCGTCGGGATAAGCTTCCATACTTAGTCAGCAATTTTTCATTTAATAATTGAGTTTTCATCAGGCGCGGGTGTCGGAACTTACGGGCGGGCCGTTCCGGGCCCGTCCACCGGTGAGGCTTCAGCCCAATAGCCGAGAGGCGCAATATGCAATAATTGCAATAAAGCCGAGAGCGGGCACACGACATTGTCGCCCAAACCCAAGATCCGTGGAGTGCAAATCATGATGTTTCATTATATCTGTTTTGTTGGTCGTTGTAAGTTGGATGTCGTTGTAAGCTAGACGTCGTTATAAGTTAAATGTCGTTGTAAGTTAAATGTCGTTGTAAGCTAGATGTCGTTGTAAGTTAAATTTTTTGGAGGCTGTTGGAGGCTTTTTCGTTAGATGTATTTCGCTGGATCTGCTTTGCTACAACGCTGGCTCAGGCCGCTGGAGCCTCGCTCTGATATTCTCCTGTTTGCCGGTGGTTTGTTTTCTCTGGTGTGATTTCGCCATGTTGCTATATGCAAGGGCTCGGAACGGATGCGGAATCCGGAGCCGTGCGCAACGCGGGAGCCCTTATCGTAAGAAGCAGGAACCATCGGCGGCAAACCAATTCGGGGCTTTCCCCGAGATCTGGGAACAATAGAAAACACGAGGCCAGCGGCTTTGTGCTTCCTTTCTTGACATCTTCGCCACGCCCGTATTCTGTACGCAGGGTCAGTCTATATCCAGCTGCCAACACCCTCAGCCAAGATAGGCTACTCTCTATACATATCTCCATACATATCTCGATATATATCTATATCTCCATAGGTACCACACATCGCAACGGAGAGGAAAGGATTGAAAGATTGAAAGGATAGGCAGGATTGAAAGGATTCGAAGGATAAGGATTGAAAGGATTCGAAGGATAAGGCTTGAAAGGAATCGAAGGATAAGGATTGAAAGGAATCGAAGGATAAGGCTTGAAAGAGCTAAAGGATAGGAAAGGATAGCAACGGGCAGGAAAGCACAGGGCCGCGATGTCTTTGCAGCCTATATTTGGGAAAAATCAAAGAAGTGACGAAGGAGCCGGCGGGAGCTTGGAAGGCAAGGGTGTGGAAAAGATTGGGGCCAGAGCCGGGCAGACCATGGAGGTGGAATTAAATATGGGCCGTGCCGGCAAGATGGGAGAGACCGGGCAAATGGCCGAGGCCAGCACAGGAGAAGAAAGCGACGCCCGAATGGCCCATGCCGAGACCAAGGGGAGAACAGGTGATGTGGTGGAGAGAAGAACAGAGACGAGACTGGGAAGAAAAACAGGTGCTGAATTGGGAAAGAAAAGAGACAGCTTTCTGGACTACAAAACAGGCACTGTACTGGGAAAGAAAACAGACACTGTATTGGGAAGAAAAACAGACACTGTACTGGACTACAAAACAGGCACTGAATTTGGAAGAAAAACAGACACTGTAATGGACTTCCAAACAGACACTGTCCTGGGAAAGAAAACAGGCACTGTCCTGAGAAAGAAAACAGGCACTGTACTGGACTACAAAACAGGCACTGAATTGGGAAGAAAAACAGACACTGTACTGGACTACAAAACAGACACTGTACTGGACTACAAAACAGGTGCTGAATTGGGAAGAAAAACAGGCACTGTACTGGGAAAGAAAACAGACACTGTATTGGACTACAAAAAAGACACCTTGCTGGACTACAAAACAGGCACCGCACCGGGAACGAGAAAACCCCCGCTGCAAAAGAAAACAGAGGCCCCGCTGGAAAAAGAAACAGGGCGCCGGGCCAGCCGGTTCCTGCAGGCCAACCCCGAGCAGGCCGCCGTCCTCAGCCACGCCGCCCACGACTCGTACTCGGCCATCGTCGACGACGAGTCCGCGCTCTTGGACGAGGACGCCACGTGGCTCCGCGACCAGCGGCGCCACCACAAGTCGCTCCACTGGCTCCGCCGCCCGTCGGTGGTGATGATGGGCACGGTGATCTTCTTGATTGCGTTTGCCACCGCGTCCGCCGAGGGCACGCGCCAGATGATCCAGTTGCGGCTCGCGTGCAACTCCGTCAAGGCCCGCACGCAGCAGGACGTGTGCGACGCGGGCCAGACGCAGGTGCTCGTACTGAGTCTCCAGCAGGCGTACTCGGTGGCGCGCGGCGTGGCCGTCATGGTGGCGCTGGGCAAGGTGGGCCCGCTCTCGGACCGCCACGGGCGCAAGGTGTTCTTGGTGGCGGCGCTCCTGTGCGCCGCGGCGGGCCTTCTCGCCAAGTACACGCTCATGGCGCTGTACGCCACGCTCCCGGCCCGCCTGTTGGTGGCCGTGGAGCTCGTGCTGAACTGCGCGGGCGGCAGCCTCGCCGTCTTGACCTTGGCCAACTGCTACGTGTCGGACATCGCCGAGGCCCACCAGCGCACGTACTACATGGGCATCAACGTCGCGTGCTTCTTCGCGGGCATGTCCACGGGCCCGGTGGCGGGCAACGCCGTGCTTGCCTTCTTCCGCCGCCACGCGCCCGCGGCCTCGCAGCCGGCGGCCACGTACGGGCCCGGCTTGGGCGGCGCGGACTTCGCGCCGTTGCGCCTCGAGCTCTGGCTCTTCTTCGGCATCCTCGCGTTCGCCGTGTTCGTGTTGCCCGAGTCCCGCGGCGCCGCGGCCCGCCGCATGTCGCGGTCGCTCTCGCTGGCGCTGCTGAAGGCGTTGTTGCGGGCGGCGGCGCCGCCGCGGCGCCGCGACGCGGTGTGCCGCTCGCTCAACTTCCTCCGCCCGGTGCGCCTTGTGTTCTACCCGAGGGACAGCGTGCACCGGCTGCGCCACCGCGCCATTGCCCGCACGCGCGTCGCCGTGCTCCTGTTGGTGGTGGCCGAATGCTTGATCACCAGTTTCGGCGCGGCCATGGGCGAGGTGTACATCCTCTACGGCGTGTACAGGTTCCAGTGGGCGGCCAGCGACATCGGGCGCTTGATGGCCGTCACGTGCCTGGGCCGGGCCGTCATGTTGGTCGTGGTGTCGCCCGTGCTCACGCGCAACGTGTGCCAGGGGCGCTTGGGGCTCCGGCCCAACAGGCGGCGCTTCGACAAAATCGACTTTGCCGTGGTCGTGCTCGCGTTTGCCTGCGAGTGCGCCGGCCACCTCGGGCTCGGCGCGGCGCGGAGCGGCGCCGTGTTCCTCGGCTGCTTGGTGTTCAACTCCGTGTCGTGCGTGGCCGCGCCGGCGCTCAACTCCGCCATCATCAAGTTCTACCCGGAGGCCAAGATCGGCGAGGTCTTTGGCGGCATAGCGATCGTGAAGAACGTGTTCTCGATCGTGTGCCCCGTGGCCATCCTCGCGCTCTACAAGACCGCGCTCTCGCGCTGGAACTACCCGCAGGTGATCTTCTTGGTCTTGGCCGGTGTTTTCGCGCTGCTCGCGTTGTTGATGACCTGCGTGATCGTGTCTCTCGAGCGCGTCGATGCCGAGGCGCCGGAGACAGAGTCCATCCAGGAGGAGCTCCCGTGAGTGCTCCGCTGCGGCCCGGGGCCCACGAGGGGTATGGGCTTGTTGCAGACGCGGGCCGGCAATTGTCATGGCACGGCCCTCTTTGCCAATAGAGCCAGGCCTTTCTGTCTCCATGTTCTGCGTGTTCTCTGCCTCCAGACTGCCCGGGCCGGCCGGGAACGGCCGACGCAGGAAGTGCTCACACCGTGACGTCGGCGACAGGACACTGCCGTGTCCCCTCTTCTTATTCCGCTGATTATTATATACCCTTGTGCCCTGATGGGTTCCACAATGTCGAATGTCGACGGGCTTAAACTTCAACTCTTTGGACCACGCCGAGGGTTCTGAAGCCACCATTGAATATACTTCGCAGTACGGAACGGAAGCTAGCTATGATGGAATCACCTTGCCTATTCGGGCTTTCCCAGATCCAATCTGCATTGCTGCAACATTCCCCTGGCCAAAAGCAAGGCGTTCCATGTTCCCTCAAAAGCGTAGATGCACATTTTCCGTTTCATAGCTGGGCCCGAACTTGCCTGACATGGAGACAAAGTATTCAGATCCACGCGACACTCACTGTATAACGGCAGAGCAAGTATGCACCAGTCATGGAAACAAGGGAAAGAAGAAAGGTATCTAACGCTTGGGCATTTCCAAACACGGATGATTCGAGTTCGATGCAGTGAATTCCGACGGGAAATGCAAAATTAGTGTCTTTGAACACCTAACTAGGCACATACAGCAGCAGTAGAGTATGAAATTGCGCTACTGGTCAACGATTTCCATCAAGAAAGAAAAATGCAGATTTTTTAAGGAATTGAAATGATCTCGTCAATACGCCATGTGAAGGCTCTTTCGGACAAGTGCTGATCCACACATGGTCTCTTTTCGCCCGCTCAAGAAGGGTTCGCTTTCTACGAATCCGCCTCACATCCAATACACCAGATCACTGCTTAGATAGTCACGAAAAATCAAAAACCAACTTTATATCTCTGAATCTGATGATTGTCCAGGTGACGATTGTGAAATCGAATGAACATCAGTTCCGCCCCTGCACAAGACCCAACATCGTGCATACACGCGTTTTTCGTCGCATGGACTTTTCCAGAGCAAAACTCGTAATTCTCACATCCATCTGACCAAGCATACCCGTGATGTACTGCATGGATTATATACGACTGGCCGGCCAATTTTCGCTGCACGGTAAAATGAGCAATGCTTCTTTTGGTATTTGCAAAGTTCGCGGTTATTTGGAACAAAGTTTTGAGTCCAGAGATCTGAGCGGTCTCTTTGACCGTGGAGCGGCTGAAGTAAAAATGTCTGGTCACGTGACTATTCATAAGATGATCACGCCCTAGACATATGCAGTCCACAGTGACCAGCCGTGCGTACACAGGAGCCTTGGCCGCACAATGCACGCAGAGGCACAAATACCGCAAATCTGAATATATAAGAATCCCAGACGACCCACGAAATCCGAAGTCAAAACCACTTTTTTCTAGAATCACAATCAAAAAAATATCCGTTATGTGTCCTTGTTCTTCAGCTCAATCTGCCTGCCAATGCAAGAAGGCGTGCCAATGTGAAAAGTGCCAATGTGAGCCCTGCAAGTGCTCCACCTGCCTGTGCGAGCAGTGCAAGTGCTAAGCAACGGAGCTATAATATCCAATTTCTTTCTACAAACAACTTCATTTATCAGGCCGGGCATTTTATGATACTAGTTCATACATTTAAGTAATATATTTTTTGTCAAATCAAGATGCGGTTTGTAGAAATATGCGATCATGGCCGAAGGCCTAGGTTGGTTTGCCCGTTCTACACTTTGAGTTTCCAAGTGCCGGCCGTGTTTCATTCCGAAAATACTCAGTTGTCCGTTGTATGCAGTGATGATTGCCAGCGAGTAGACTCGTGAATTGTGTCATGGAATTGATCCTAGAGTAGTCAGCTGCAAAGTTTAGATCCAACTGGCGAGAGGAAATTGATATGATTATCAGGTGCATTACATGGGTCCAATCCTGGCATGTAGTATTTAGAGAGACCGTATACCGTTTACTGTTGACCCTTTCGGTTTGATATCTTTGAGTGTATTACGGACTGTGTTCCTTTTGCTAGTCGTGAAAATCTAGGTTCTCTAAGCGCATGTTGAACTATGTACACGTTTACCATGAGTTTCCTCGGATCTCGCCGCGCCTCTGATTACGTTCATCCTGCTACTGGGCCTTGACCGTTTCATCCACGTGACCGAGATCTTACGCAGGTGGTTTTGGTGAGTTATTCGACAGGTTATTTACAATTAGTACAAATCGTGTTTTTCCATAAAGCCCTTTGAAAATTAAAGTATGATTTGTGACAATTGTAGAAAATCAGGAGCATGTGCAGGGACAAAAAAAAAAAACGACACATGGATTTCTGAAACTGCTGGAATGAGCACATGGAAGCAAATTCAATACTCGAAATGTTGCATTTAGAAAGAGACGAAAAACGCAAAAAGCGAGTTGCTCTCGCTGGTGGAGAAAAGTGAGTGCCAGCACTCAACTTTATGTACAAAACGGATGTGGAACAGAGAAAACAAAACTTAAGAGTCAACTATTGTCAAGAAATGCTAATTCTCCAAGCAGTCAGTGATATCAAATTTGGATTTCCAGAGTCTTCAAATTTAAAGATAGCCAGAGCGATATTTAACGCTAACTCCCCATGTTTAAAGAGACTCCTCCTTTTTGTCTAAAGAGACTCCTCCTTCTTGTCTAAAGAGAAGAATCGTTGACCACCATGCCTGATACTGCTGCAGACATCAAAGTAGCAATCAAACCCGAGAATAAAGCTGATCCAATGTTCTTGGCAATGTCTCCGGATCTTTTGCCCCGGCTTAAAGTATTCAACACACCCAAGGTTATACCCATGGAGCCGAGATTAGCAAACCCACAGAGTGCATACGTGGCAATAAGAGTTCCTCTTGTTGACATGGCGTTGTAGGGAGCGTCGTTGATCAACATAGTATAGGCAACGTACTCATTCTGGATGAACTTGTTGGCAATCAAATTCGAGATCATGAGGATCTCGTCTCGAGGTACGCCCAAAAGAAAAGTGACTGGGTACAAGATGTACTTCAAAATTAACTCCAAGGTCAAAGCCTCGATGTTCCAAAATTGGCCAAACCACGTCAAAATACCATTGACCAAGGCAACAAGCGCAATAATACACATGGTCTGAATCATCATGGTCGAAGCAGTGATGAGTCCCAAATTTGCACCCTCCGAAAAAGCCTGCAAGACATTTCTTGCGGCCTTGCTTTCATCGATATTTTCAGTGAAGCGCACGTCGCCTTTAGTTGTGGAGATTTCTGTCTCTGGACATCTTAGCTTGGAGACGGCTATCGAGGCAGGAATCGACATGACACAAGACGACACCAAAACTTGTGCACTCAAGCCCAAGCCAATATAACCCACTAGCACAGCACCAGAAATTGTGGCGAAGCCCGACGTCATCACCTGGTGCAATTCAGCGATAGTCAAATACGGAAGGAAGTCTTTGATCAAAATCGCAGACTCACCAATGCCAAGGAAGGGCGAGGCAGAGGCGGTGATGGACTCGGCACCAGAGATCCTCAAACTCCAGAAGAAGAATTTCGCAAACTTCGACACAAACCACTGTACAACACCGTAGTAGTAGAATATATGAACGAACGCGACGAAGAATGCAACGCCAGGCAACACAGTAAAAAAGAACATGCTTAACTGAGAAACCTCCGAATTGGTCAAGAAAGCAACACCTTCTTGGGCAAAACCTAATAGCTCTCTGGCCAACGTAGAGATGAAGTTGAAAATATCGTAGCCACACTTGGTCCGCAAAACGAAAAGAGAAATGATGTATTGCATCAAGACGCCTCCGATGACAGCATTCCAGTTGCCTTTAGACTTGTTTCTGGAGGTAACAAACAAACCCAAGATTGCGACCACTAGACCAAAGAAAGAGATCGCCCTGTCTTTTCTTTTGGAGTATGCAGTTTCTGGAGATACAAAAGTACCAATCAAGATCACCGCGAGGGTTATGGCACCACCTGAAAGCAATCGGTATAATCTTTTCGGAAGCAACTGGTTGTAGATGATATCGCAAACAAAGTTCCAGCTTATTTGGGCCATGGCAAGGGTTCTTTTTAGTACTTTTGTGTGCCACGATATCAAGCGAACCATAATCATGCCCCAAAAGACTGTGGGTATCAACCACTGTTGTCTGTGGTTTTTCTGGATTATTATCGAAAGCCACCATGCAGTGAAAAAACTCCCTACAAGAGCATGTATTGCCGTTTTGTACCATGGAAACCGAAGCTTCAATTTTTGCATCCGTCCGAGGGATTTCACCGTGGCCACTTCATGCACAGAGTCTTGTACATCGTAAGAATATTTCTGGGATTCTGCCTTGTTATCGATGTCTGCCTCCAGAAGCAGAGTGCTTCGTTTAGTTTCGATTTGGTCGGACATATCTTACGATTTGGCTGGTGAGATGGAGAAGCAAGTTTCAAAGTTGAAAGGTTCTGGAATTGCCAAAGTCGGCCGCAATGAACGATCTGTTCAAAGTATGAAGAGCGACCCCACAATAAAAGCAGACGGCATCGAGGCGACTGATCTTGTTTTAAAAGGGCAAAAAAGCAATTCAGCGCCGTACGTGTCTTTGCATATAAATCATTTGACCATGCATCCTCGGTGGAATGCGCTAAAGGCTGCTGCAAAGGGTAAGGACTCGTACGGCGAAATGAGAGCCGCGCGTCCAGCGAAAGATCTAGCTTTTTATTTTTGCTGTTTCCTGCAAAATGTTGGGGCTTAATTTGCGTTTGTTCGGTATATATTCGATTCAAAAGCCAAAACAGTTTGTGAACCCCACAAATGTTTGAGAAAAAGGGGGGCTGTTTCAAGGTTAGCTCTGCTAGACGAGAAATCTGTCAACACGAGACGTGGACGATATGCAGACCCACTATAGTGGCACAATGTTTTTCCGAGAAAAAATCGTCGGTAACGCCGCATACTTGTGGCCGCCATGCGGGGTAGACCCAAGCTCGGCGAACAAGACATCAAACCTAAGATTAAAGTAGATTTTCGGCTGTCCAATCCCTGCAATGCGGGTTACGCGTATTTAAGATTTAAACTCAAAACTAAGGTGTGGTATTCATGACTTTTATTTCGTTTGCTGAAATTACTCGCCATTCTTCTCCGTTCTATATTTATCGTGGCTCTCTTGAAACGACCGAGAATCAATTCCATTGCTTATTCCCATGAGAGTCTTCATCATTGCCTCGGTTCCGCCAATCAAGGGCCGTATCACAATAACCGGTGAGTTTCGGGCCACCGAAACAATTTGTTCCTGTAGTGTATCCGCACTCTTTAATTCTCTTTTGAGAACACTGAACTTTTTCTTCGAGCCTTTGAAGTTGTGTCCCATGGCCTTGAATGCCGACTTAAACCCTTCTTTGGCATTTGAAGGTTGATTAGAATATAAGCTTGTAACCTTTCTTTCTGTTTCCTCGGTCAGGTCTTCTTCAATTTCATTTTCGTCCTCACCTTCACTGTCAAATAATAGGATGGATGACTGCAATTGCCCGATCTCAGAATCCAGATCTTCTTCGTCAATTGCTGAATGAAGGTACTGGATAGGTTTCAGTAAGAGGTCCGGATCACGGACAACGGAATCCTTTAGTATCTGTGATGATTCAAGTAAATTTTTTCTTTTGTCAGTTTTTGGCTTTGTTGGTGGTTTTGGCTTTTGCTGCAGAGATCTTCCTTTAGACCTACGTGCCAAAGCACCTTCTCCACCAAAGTATTCTTCCAGATTCTCTAAAACAACTTGAGCGCCCGAAGCGAGCTTGACTCCAAGTCTCAAAAGTTCATTGGCAGTGACTTTTGCCAAAGAAATCGAGCCTTTCTGAATACCATGAAGCACTCTTCCATCACGCTTATATTCCTCAATTGGAAGGCTGACGAGGTCCCGGACGCCATTTCCAACGTTGATTATGGATTTTATGGGCGCAAGACCAGAAAGAAGCCCAGAGAGCTGATATTTCTGGATATACGGTCCATAAATTTGCGCAAGTCCCCTACCAAGTTTTGGAAACCCGTGAACTCCATAGACAGCTGCTTTTTTCAACTTCAAATCTGAGCCATCCAAGATAAACAAATTAGCCAACTCAGCATTGTTCCCCGAGCGAATACCTGCATAATTAATTGACTTTGGTTTGTAGTCGAATTTTATCCGCAAGGGATCAATTGTGATCTTTTGAAAATATGGTGTTTCCTCAGCAGGAAGACCAAATCTTGAGTCTTTGAATCCAAAAAAACGTGTTGCAAAACCAAGTGTGTCTTGGTCAATGAACAATCTTAGTGGAAGAACTTTTAAAGCAATAATCATTTCCGTGAATGGCATTCGTGAATCCGGCCGCACATTCGTGATGCTTAGTTCAAGCATATTGTTTCCTATTTCACGTTTTCCAAGTGCATTCAAGTACGTCAACATTCTGTTCCACGTTGACGATTGCACGTTGTCTAAGATTTCAATCGTGTCCAATCGGATTTCAGTATTATTTGCAACTTTGGATTGTGATGTAGGCAACAAAAAATGGTCATCACACAACTCATCATCGTAGAATTTGGCTTTCACAGAAAGATTATGTATTTCGGCAGATATCTTATGCCTTTGGGACCGACGAAGCTTGAGGTCTTTGAAAGTCTTGTCAATCTTCACATTTGTATGAGCTTGAGGCTCTAGCTCTTCCGGTTCGCCATCACCCCGTACCTGAGCATTGATGATCTCAACAAGATTCGAAGCCCCGATACTTTTATCAGTCCCTATGTGAATTGATTCAAATATTGTCTGTCTAAGCATGAAATTTTGCAGATCTGCTATCAGATGATGTTCGTCTCCCTCCAGATCTTTCAAGTTTGAATGTACCAAATCTTCATTGTCGCAATCAGATGAATCACGTCCATGCAATGAATTTTCTTCAAGCTTGGGTATGTCTAATTCATGAGATCGTTTTTCCAATGATTTGACAGCGCTTTTGATGGACTTTCTTGTCGATTTCCAATCGTAACCATCATGTAGATATACTTCTGCGCACCTGACATTTAACGACAATGTAAATGGATTCTCGGATCTCTTTTCGGTGTGTTCTTCATCATTGAAATAACTCTCGACAACTCGAATGGATGATCCTTGATCCGAGGAACAGGAGGACGTATTAAGATCTGGCTTGCGAGGATTTTTGACTTCTTCATCAGAATGCTGTTCGCTACGATAATTATCAACAAAGATAATTTCGTCCTTGGTCATTCTGCTCGGGATTCTATGCAATTTGGGAGTATCTTCTTTTTCTGAAGCTTTCAATTTTTCAAATATATCATCGGGCATAAGAAAATCATCCTTCACATGAAGTCGAAACTTTTCTTGGTCTTTGAACAACATGGGCTCTTTGAGATCATTCATTGTTTGCAAAAACGTATGAGCAGAATCAGCGCAAGTGTCCAAACAGAAATGATCAATGTTAATCTTGGGGTCTACCCCGGACAGTCTATTGGTTTCCTCTAGTTGACCCAGTTTCAAACGAGTACAGTTTTTGTCAACGTCAATACCGACATGAAGAAGATTGATGAAGCCAATATCAACGTAGCCTGATCTAATTAGCTCTGACTGTACCTTGGACCCGGACACGGTAGTGATGTCACGAAGAAAGTGAATGTCGTCTATCAAAAGAACCTTAAGATCACGAAATGAGCTTTTGAAGCAAAATCGATTGTAATTCAACGCAATGTCCAGACTACCAGTCATGGCTGTCAAACATAATTTACTTTTGAGCCTTCCAGGAAGCACACCAATAGCAAAATCGTGATATATCATGCGAATTTCCATCTCACTTTCAGTGCTTTTCATTTTCTGCTCGCTAGCTGGACAGGACTTTTTGTCTGTGTCAGAATTCAACAATGTCAGCCAGTTTACATGATAGTTGAGCATAAAACCTCGACAGACAACTTCAAAGATGAGTTTTTCATCCCCCTTTTGACGAAACTGAATCATGGGAAACTGACTTTGTACATTTGAGATGTGATTCAATAAAGATTCAGCAACTAAAGTACGCATTACCAGAAGTGAGGTGACGTGACCGCAAAATCTATTGTTGAGTCGAAGAAGTTCAAATCTTTCGGCCTTAAGATTCAAGCCTCCAAAAGTCTTGTTAATATCCGTTAAGGAAAACCTTAACAGATTAAGGGTCAATTTAATGGTCGAAGGAAGACTCTGAACGTCACCAAACATAATCTGGGCATTATTCATACGTCTGTATCTATTTTGTGGGGAATAGATTGAGTTAAGAAGGTTGCTGCTCTGCGATAAATTTGATTTTTCAGAACTGAGTTCACATGCAAGGGTAACTTTCAAAGAGTTCACATTATCTGCAATTTCAAGTGCGAGTAAGAAATACCCAATATTGCTCATTAAGGCCGAAAGCAGATCGCGTGTCATCGTTCCACTAATAGCACCAACATGGATGGAAGTTGAGGATCTAAGTGCCGCCTTTCGTGGAGCAGAGCTACCCGCAGAGTAATGAAACGAGTCGAATTTAGTGGTTGCCAAGTTTCCTCGAATTTCTGAAAATTTCAATATCTGTGTTTTAAGATCACCACTCAATTCATACATGTTTATTCCTGGTATAATGAGCTGATCCATGGCTTTGTTATAGGATATAGGGAGCACAAAAAATTTCAAAATGCTTGTCGCAGATAGCCTCACATCTGCTTCAAAAGATGCGGTCTGAACTACTACCTGGGTATATGCGTTAGAGCTACCATGAGAGCTGTGGGTCACGGGCAGCCCTGGATTCAAAATCTCATTGAACTGTCGGGCACTTTTGAGCAATATGTTCAAATGTTTGTCGAGAGCCGAAATACAGAGCGAAAGATTGAGAAAGTATTTTAAGACCTGAGCATCAAGATACATAGAGCCAGGCTTCGAAATGAGGATTGTGAGCTCAGTATCCAAAGAATTATTCGGGTTTATCTTCAGGTATTCAAATCTGACATCCGCTTTTCTTGTTGCAATCTTTTCTTCGGAAATCTTCTGTTCTTGTTGAAATTCCGAATTGTTATGAGGTGCAGCGTTATCCGCAGAGTTGAACTCGAAAATATGGCTTTTCTGACCCTTAAAATATCTCAATATCTCAAATGCCTCTAGCCCTCCGTAAGTCAAACTTTCATCTTTTATTTTCATCTTGAAGTTGGAGAAAATAAGACTCACCTCGTTCTCAAACGATGCAAAGGAGCCCTGTGTGTTTAGTGCCGATGTGAGACTTACTTCTAGGGATTTCACATGAAGCTTGTCTAGGGCTCCTGAGCTTGTAGAGGCCTCGCTATTGGCTTCATTAGCCGCAGAATTACCGTATGACTGTAAGTGAGATGGCATTCTCTTCCCATTTGGCTTGTTGAGAGAATTGCGTTTTTTGAGTTGATGGAGGCTAAGCTTGAAAAGCTTCGAGAGACTGTTTACAACAACAGATGCAGCTGGAAAAAGAGGCACAGCAGCAACTTTGATGTTTTGAATGTCAATCCTCACGTTTGAAAGCGGCGACACGTTTTCAAACAGAACATCGATGCAATCGACATGTAATAGGCATGCTGTGTTAGAAGAGTCTTTGGAATGTGGAGGAATCTTTTCGGGTGTTTTGGCAAATGATTGCGAAGTTGCACTCATGTAGATAGAGCTCGCTTCCTCGGGCGTGAAAATCATGCTGTCCATTAAAGGCTCCTCTACCACCTCATCATCATCTTGGTCGTCACTTTGATCGCTTTCAGAACTATCTTCGCCGTTTTCACGGTTTTCTTGGTTTTTCGAGAAGTTTCTATCGAGGTTTTCTTGATGTGGTCCCGAGCTTGAGCCATCGTTTGATCGTCCACGTATACCAGCGTCCAAAAATGGTCTTCCCACGGCCACAGTCAATCCCTTGATGCTAAGGATTTTGATGCCGGTTTTATAGGAAAACACAACCTCCTCAATCCTCAATATAAGGTCAGCTGGCTCAATGACGATCTTCACGGTGACGTTCGTGACACGTATTTGGAGTTTCAGAAGCGCCATGTCGATTGCTTTGGACATAACCCCACCCAAGGACGAGGGGCGTTTCGACGAGTCTGCCGACATTGGAGAGCTGGGCAATTCCGAAGAGGGCAAATTGCCGGGTACCAGCGGCAGATTCTTGCCGGAACCGTGCGGAATAGAGGAGCTCAGACCGGGCCCAGAAACCCCGGAAAAATCGCCGAAATCTGGGTCTGAGGTGTCGGAAGAGACGGAGCTGTCGAGCAAAATAGTATGCGTCAAATCCGCGGAGCTCTGCGCCAACAGCGCCTGGGCATTCTCGATATCCTGGACCAAGTTGTCGATGCTGGGCGCCACAACCAAGTCGACGCCCGCAATTTCGAGATTTGCGCCTTCTTTCACGCTTCCTTTCAAGGACACGTTGTGGAGAAGCCCGTGGCGGAGCCGGAGGCCTGGGATTTGGGTGATTTTCTCGGGATCGATGGCCACATCGCGAAGGTGGATGTTGTTGAATGAGACCTCCTCCAAGTTGGGGAGCTCGATGCCGGAAAAAAGCGATAGCTGCTGCAAGATATATAGAAACACCCGCTTTTGGATGTTTTGCGGGATCCAGTTCAGATACATTGGCGGCGGAAAAGGGGGTTTGGATGGCGCTAATATGTGGGGTATCTCTGGTGCGGCTAAAACAGGACCGCGGGGCGGAAAACAGCCGCGAAAATTGGCACTGGCACTAAAACAGAGGCAGCGGTCCGGAATTTCGATAGAAAAGACCGGGGTTTGGGGTGCTTTGAGTGTTTTGTATTGTGGTTATTATTCCGTGGGGCAGTAGTACGAAGCGTGAGCGCTCACGAATCGCGCGTAAATGCTGGACGGATAAGCAGAATATCCAGGATTAATAGGCAGAAGGTCGAACAGCGATTTTCCAAATTGAGTACTGCAGATTTGGCAGGAGACATTATTCATTGGGAACTGTACTACTTAAAATCTCACCAAGCTTTTGATTTTCTTTATTTTTTTTGGTGTGATTGCTCTCTGCTATTGTGACTATGTATCAGGCGAGCCGCGATTAGATAAGAAGTATGGGGGCCTCGACTAGCCGCACCGGCGGTCACGTGACCCGATCGTGACTTGGTGGGTCAGGTCTGAAAGATAGGTCAGACAAGGAGAATACCGCTTCGTTTCGATTTTAAAGGTCATAAAAGCGGGCCGGGGACTGCTGGAGCTGTGCCTGAATTATAAACAGCTGTTTTTAGATGTATGCTGCCATCACATGCAATGTTGTTCATGAGCAGACGTAGATTCGTTTAGATGTCATGACATGTATGAAGATGTTTTGAATGTTTCGCGTGGCGTGGATTGGATAGAATAGGTAGGGATATTGTGCTCGCCATATGTTAAGCCGGTCTTAAATAGGAAGACGGGGAGGCATGACCATCACGCCCAGTGTCACTAGATAGCGAGTCCAAATCCCGATTTTATAGATATGATTGAGATACCAGAAGGATTCAAGAGTTGTGCAAGGCAAGTGGCGTCAGAAAGATACACGAGAATTTTCATTGAATTGACGGTATTGGTCATAGATACTGTCTCAGTCTTGGTTCAAAAAACTTCAGAAAGATGCTTCCTCTTCATCAGGGATGCTACTGAGAAAGGGCTACAGATCACAAGACTTCTCCTGCTACTTTTACGTAATTTGTTTCACCAACCAAAGTGGCTTTTGATGGCATCGTGACCCGCCATTGCCATATATTCTCTGGCAAGTCTCCTGGTTAAGCCTTAGGGCTGTGACCTAGACGCTCTACCATATGTTCAAGTGAATTTTATTAAAGCTACCTATAATTGACTCATAATCAAAGCTACCTATAATTGACTCATAATCAAAGCTACCTATAATTGACTCATACGATACTAGCAGAGACTAAGCGTCAGTATTGGCATCGGTGGCAATGTCAATGGAGCAGTCCTTCGCACCTTGTTTCTGCTCACCATCGATCGCCGCATCCAACTTGTCTCCGCTTCCTTGCATCTTTTGATACTCGGAAAACGCGGCAGTAGCTTTTTCCTGGTACGTTCCTTCAGTGCGGTTGAATGTCTTGTATGCCTCCTCGGCACTTTGAAGCTCACTTGCGCTTGCCTTCTCGTCGTTGCCTGTGGCAGATTCCTTAGCTTTGTTTACCAAACTACCGAAATCCATGATTGATTTTCAGTTGAGTCTATGGTTTGGCAAAATGAGCGGGAAACAGACTGTCTTTTATAGCCTGTCATCGGTTCTCGATGAAAATCTAAGAAGGAAACTCGAGCATTCGGGCAGGTCTCGAGGGAGGCTTTTGTTCTCATCTTTCCTAATCAAGCCTCTTGAAGGGGCTTTCAAATCCCCAAAGCTGGAGAGCAACTTCAATAAGGTCTTTTGTGAGAGTGCTCGGGGGCTCCTTGTTCCTTCAAAACCAGCAACTTCAATGAGGTCATTTTTAAGAGTGCTCAGGGGCGATTTGTAGCCTCTAGACTATTCCATAAATTGACGTGTCTCTCTATTTCCCCATCCTCTGTTCTAGAACCAGGTCCGACCCGCATAGAAGTGACTGGTGAAGTTTTCTATAGTCAACAGAAAAGAGCGAGTGTTCTGTCTGGCTAAGCTCTAGATCACTTCTGATTTTGGACCACCGCAATTATGTAAAAACAGCAAACAGACATCTTACGGCTCCTAGCTGGATTATCTTCCCGACAAACGAGCAAAAAATGATTCCAGTCCTAATATTGAGGCCTTGGCGACTTGGGCGCTCTGATTGGCAAGTGATTCCCCTGAAAATTCTTCTGGAGTCAGTTTCTGTTGAGGAAGACTCAGATTCTAATTGAGCAAGACCACAATGAATAGCTCTACACAGTTTTGGGCTATGCATGCGGTGACAAATCCTTTAAGCTTCCGCCAGTCCCGAAGTCAATTTTTGATCTTTAGGGCGGTTTCAAAAGATACGGCAAAAAACAATCAACACAAAACCAGAAGCGTCTTCAAAAACAAAAAAGAGGCCGAGTCTACTGATTTCTGCTGATTTGAGGTCACCGGCTTAAGAGCTAGTACTAAAGCTGGACACTGTGACTTGCGAAAACCAGAACAGACTGTACGGACCGACTGCGTTTCACAAGAAAATGGATCCTGCAGAAACCAGAATTCCCTGAAAGTTTCAGTTGGCTTTGTTGGGCGAAAAATCCCGCATAAGTGCTTCTCGAATGCACGTGTTGTTTACTTAACATAAGAACTGGCTAAGGAGAATTGCCATTTCAAGCAGACGTCGGCATGGAACAGTGTCCGTACTGCATACAGGGAACGGCGTTCGCTGGACCCGCACCTCAGATTATCATAAGGAACCAGCAACGGTCCTCACCACACGACCAAACACTACACCCATTCTCTAAAAAACGGCATACGTATATTAATCTGCATTGCGATTTGCAAGCTAACTAGTTCTTCTCCGTAGAGTCGGATTTGGTTTCGTCAGAAGACTTCTGGCTGGCATGGTCTTTTTGGTACTCTGAATACGCAGCAGAGGCTTTGTCAGTATACGAGCCTTCGGTGGTGCTGAAAGTTTTATAGGCCTCCTGGGCATCCTTTTGCATTCCGCTGTAGTCAATCTTTCCATCCTCTCCTGCAAGCGCCTCCTTTCCTTTGTTGATCAAATTGCCGAAATCCATGATTAAATGTGAATACTGGTGAACGAAGCAGAAAGTGGGCACGGGCTCGTATTTATACTCTATTTTGCCCAACCCCAGTTGTCGAAGTTTCTCCTATGTTGTATACAAGAGTGCGGTTCCATTGACGTCATCCATATCAAGATATCCTACAGGCAGTTGTTGAAAACCTTCACTGCTTGGGGCTCGCCGACTGCATACCAAGATCCAGGATTTCCGAGATCAGAGGAGACTGCGTTTTTCACGAATTTCGGATTTTTCTGGCGAATTTTGCTTTTCAGATTCCGAAGCAGGATGCACGACTCCAACCGGCCTCAAACTTTCTTGTTTTTTTAGTACTGTCTTGTTGGGCTTAAGACCCTATGCTTGGAGATACAAGAAAGGTGAGGCGCATCAGCTCGATTTTGTTACGATTTGCCTCAAGCAAAAAGCAGAGAGTCACGGAGAAAATCGATAATTCACATCCCCATCATTTAATCTTAAACAGAAGAAGCTATTGTTAAACTGTGCGGAAAGCCACCCCGGGTTCTGTTTGGAATTCTGCCATTGATCCGACTACACGATGCAAAACCAAGCCAAGAAAAACAGCGAACTATTCAAATTCCGTATCTCTATACAATTATTTATACACACTTAGAGCTTCAACTTCTCCAAAATAGCGATGGTCTGCTCGTACCCCTCAGCCTCGGCCTTGAAGTTTTCTGCTCTCTTGAAAGCAGCCTCCTTGGCCTCGGGCTTGGTCTTGTCCGTGAACTTGCTGATGGAGTCCTTCAACTTGTTCTGCAACTCTTGCATATTGCTCAACTTCTTGCTGACCTTGCTGATCTCAGCGTCAATGTCGATTTGGCCCTTAACCATTACGTGAACATTAGTGTTAGCACTGACACCGTTCAAAGCGCAGCCACTAGGAACTTCTGCACCCGCATCAAGAACGTCGATCTTCTCAACACCCTTGATCAAAGACACAATGGAGTCTTTTTGGTCTTTACAGATGGATCTGACGGTCTCATCGCTGGTCTCAACGTAGACCTGGCCGTTCTTCAAAATGTTGTATTGAGACAACAAGGACCTGGCTCCCTTAGTGATGTTCAAAACCAATTCGTAGGCATCCAAGGAGGCGACATCGTCAAAGTTCTCTTCATAGACAGGGTATTGGGCCACGGTGATTGAAGGAGCGTTGTCGCCCGCTCTGCGAGGCAATCTTTGCCACATTTCCTCGGTGACATATGGCATGAATGGGTGGATCAATTTCAATGCACCATCGATACACGTGTACAAGGTGTCCTGGGCAGACTTCTTTTGCTCAGGCGTACCCTCCTGGATCAAGGCCTTCGAGTTCTCGATGTAAACATCACACAAGTCGTACCAGAAGTTGTAAACAGCGGATGTGGCCTCCGAGAACTCACGGTTGTCCAAATGGTTGTTGGTGGCCTTAGACGCATCGGTCAACTTGTGTAAGATCCATTTCTCGACCAAGCTTTCGTTTCCAGATTTGGCGGAGGAGGCGGGTGGAACATAGTCATCACCTAATCTGCCCAAAACAAACTTGGTAGCCTGGTAGATCTTGTTACAGAACTTTCTGTATCCTTCAACTCTTAAAATATCCAAGTTGATGTCTCTACCACCAGTGGTGTATGCACACAAGGCGAATCTCATGGCATCAGTACCACACTCGGGAATTCCGTTGGGGTAAGATTGCTTCTGACCCGCGGCAGCCTTCTCGATCTCCCTTGGGTCCAAGTTACCTAACTTCAACTTGTCATGCAAGGCGTCCAATGAAATACCGGAAATAACGTCCAATGGGTCCACGACGTTACCCAAGGACTTGGACATTTTTCTGCCCTGTGCGTCTCTGACCAAAGAATGGCAGAAAACCTCCTTGAAAGGAACTTTTCCTGTCAATTTCAACGTCAACAAAATCATACGCGAGACCCAGAAAAACAAAATGTCCCAGCCGGTTTCCAACATGGAGAACGGAGCGTAGAGCTTCAAGTCCTCGGTGTTATTTGGCCAGCCCAAAGTAGAAATAGGCCACAAACCGGAGGAGAACCAGGTGTCCAACACGTCCTCATCCTGTTCCAAAGTGAACTTCACATTAGGGAACTTCGCGTTGGCCTTTTCCAAGGCCTCTTCGTAGGTTCTACCAGCGACCCAGTAGTTGTTGTCCAAGCGGTCGCCTTCCTCGTTGTCGACCACCACAAAGTAGACGGGACATCTGTGACCCCACCACAACTGTCTAGAAATACACCAGTCTTGGATGTTCTCCATCCAGTGGAAGTATTCCTTCTCAGAGGTCTTGGGCGAGATGGTGATTTCACCATTCTTGACGACCTTGATGGCCTCCTTGGCCATCTCCTCCTGTCTGACCCACCACTGTGGCTTCAACAAAGGCTCAATGACGTCACCCGATCTGGAGCAGGTGGGGATTGTCATCTCGTTGTCTTTTTGGTCGACGTACAAGCCCAAGTCCTTCAACTTCTCGATGACCATGGCTCTAGCAGTAAAACGCTTGATTCCTTGCCATTCAGGACCACAGTTCTCGTTCAACAAACCGTTGTCAGTCAAGATGTTGATGAACTCCAAGCCGTGTCTCTTACCGGTGTTGTAGTCATTCTGGTCGTGCGCAGGCGTGATCTTGACCGCACCTGTTCCGAACTCCATGTCCACAGCCTCTGCGTCCGTGACAATTGGGATTTTGCGGTCCAAGAAGGGGTGTTGCACAAACTTGCCGTGCAAGTGGGTGTAACGTGGATCCTTGGGGTGCACAGCGACACCAGTGTCTCCGAACAAGGTCTCTGGTCTGGTGGTGGCAACCGTGATCTTCTCGTCGGAGCCCACAACGCAGTACGAGTACAGGGTCAACACACCAAACTCGATCTTTTCGTCGTAGTCTGGCACGGAGAGCAAGGTTCTGCCCGCGACGTTCTTGTTGTCGACCTCCAAGTTGGAGATTGCCGTGTTCAACTTCGTGGACCAGTTGACCAAGCGCAGCGCACGGTAGATGGTGCCGTCCTCGTGCAAACGCACAAAGGCCTCCGTGACGGCAGCCGAGAGGTCTGGGTTCAACGTGAACGCCTCACGCGACCAGTCGAAGGACGCGCCCATGCGCTTGACCTGGTCCTTGATGCGCGCATGGTAATCCTCCTTCCACTCCCAGACCTTGGCCACAAACTTCTCGCGCCCGTAGTCGTGACGCGTCTTCTGCTCGGTCTTCCATACCTGTTTCTCCACCACCGATTGCGTGGAGATACCTGCGTGGTCGAAGCCGGGCAAGTAGAGCGTGGTCTTACCCTTCATGCGGTTGTAGCGGATCAAGCTGTCCTGGATGGCAAACGTCAACGCGTGGCCAATGTGCAACGCGCCGGTGACGTTGGGTGGAGGAGCGGCAATGGTGAAGGCACCCTGCGACTTGATCTCGCCGCCGTCCAAGCTGGGCTCGAAAAACTTCTGCTGCTCCCACCACGCGTACCATGAGCTCTCCACGTTCTTGGGGTTGTACGCCTTGAAAGCCGGGTCGTCCAAAGGCGCCATGACCTTTTTCTCGCCGAGTTTCGTGGTGTCGTTCCACTCCGGCACGGGCTCCGCGGCGGGTTTCTTCTCCTTTTTGGGCTTGCTGGCCGCAGCAGGCTTGCTCTGGGCATCGGCTTGCTGTTTCTGCTTCTTGGCCAAGAACTTGGCCATTTTCTCCGCCTTCTTCTTCTCCTTCTCGATCTCCTTGGCCGTCTTTTCTTTCTTCACTTCACCGGCGGCTGGCGCGGCGGGTGCGGCGGCTGTGGCGCCGGCAGCAGTCACTTCTTCACGTGCAGACATCGTGCTGGCGAACGTTCGGATATGGGCCACGGTATTTCTGGGGAAAAGCGGGACTTTCTGAAGAACGAATCTGCGAAAGGCCATGGACAGCCCGAGGTATGCGTGCAGAGAAGACGAAAAAAAACGACTCATACCGCTCGTAGACCCGTGCCTCCACAGGCGCGCGGAATCTTGGGGGAGACTGCCAGAAGCGGAGGGTGGATTGAGGGTGCTGCCGGGCTCTGTGCCAATTCAGATCTTGCATGGGTGGAGAACGATTAGGCCGAGTGTGGGTTTTTATTATCGGGCTCCACAAGTTTGAAAACGTTTTTTTTGTTCGCTTTTTTTGGTTGAGCTTGGTTGTCTTTTTTGTTTTGTATTCTTTTTTTGTTGGCGTAGTACTGTGTTCATATCTTTTTTCATCCAAAAAATTCAAAATTTGAAAGGTTCCAAAGGGTCTGAACAAAAAACGACGATTGGAAGCAGTCACCCTTACGCGCCCTAGTCCCGAGGATTGGCTCACAACGTACAAAAACTCTAGTCTGATGATTTGGATTATTACAGTAGTGAAATTGCAAGCAGTTGGGCAGTTTGGGTCTCGCACTTTGTAGTCTGGGAGCCTTGATATAGAGGAAGGACAATTGCAACCAGGCAATAGACCAGATCGTCAGCGCAGATTTGCACTTAAGGCTCCTGCAAGTTTCATTGTTGAATCGTCAATTCTCGAGTATTCTGTTTTCGAAACAAGAACGAAGATTTAGGACGTCTTCTGTCATCCGGGAGCTGCAGCGGCAGCTCTGGAAAGTACTACCTGGGTATGTTTGTGATTTGATTTAGTCATTCCAAGCAGTATCCGGCCTTGGTAATTTTTTCACACTCAGGCCTCTTTTGCTTCAGTTTCCTCTGCAAAAATCTTATAGTGAACATAGTCAGCGGCTATGATTGCATTTGAGACTGAAAAGAAGAACGGCTTCACGATGCATCTTCGCAAAGTTCTGGCTATTTAGGAGAATGACAGTACATTGATTTACACACAAGGGAACGCAGCTGGAAAGAAGGCGTGGTACGAATGCGATGGTGGGTTGCGTTTGCCATTTGTCTCGTCACGCGTCTTTGCAGCTTTTCGTGCGCATGTTCATTTCTCTCGATATGGTGTTTCAACCCGAATAAACCGGTAATGGTTCTGGAATGGGAAACGTCCAGGGGCATTAAGAGAATATGCTTAAAGACACTTGAGTTCCTGTCTTTGTCATCTTATACAAGATCGACTATGAGCCCTGATTAAAGATGCCAAGGTACAAAGTACTCGATACTTCATCGGAAGTTAACAGTTGTAAGGGCCCGCATAATGTTGGTCAATTCAAACAGCACTGAGACCCCTGTCGGACGTTCGGCTGATTAGTACCCAGAGTCAAATAGACAGAACTTGACTCGATTAGATGAAGTAGCCCAGCAGTTCAGGAGTCAACATTTGCGATCTCCGTATACAAGAAAAGATAGAACCCAAATCCCAAGAGCAAAAGACGCCGCCAAATAGCACAGCCAAGGCCATGTCAAACTCAGCACTGACAGCTCATAGAATTCGGCTATCAAGGCACATGGGATGCAAGACATGCCAACAAGTAGTCCGCTTGTCACACAAGCAGTTGGCAAAGACACGCAAGGAAAGTTGCCAAATCGCCCAGCCGGCCAAAGCTATGAAGGCACTTTCGGAGAAACGTCATGTCTGAGGACCTTCCGGGCTGAAGCACCGCTGGGAATATTGTGTTGAAAAGCCTGGATGCTAATAGTGAAGCACCCGATTGAGCGGGTGTCCGGGGGAATCACGTGTCACGGGTCTGTTCCTCACCAGCTATTCTTCCATGGTGCTTGTGCTTTTTGACAATCAATCTTGTGTGGAAGATGACCCTTGGACCTTCACTTTCAACAGCTGAGCATGGGCAAGATGTATGAAGCTGAGCATGCAAGATGTATGAAGCTGAGCATGGGCAAGATGTGTGAAGCTGAGCTTGGGCAAGATGATAATGCGTGTCTCCAAACCTCTTCAAAAGAGAATTCAGCTCGGTGGATCGAAAACGCCCCCTGCCCCAGAGCCACCAGACTCGGCCTGGTTTTCTCCTGAGGCGAGAGCCCGAAACGTGACTTCCGCAATTCGAAACACATCGGGCAAGTGCAGACGAATGAGACCCGAGCCACCAACGAGCGTCCAAGGACCCGTCCTCAATGGCGCCCCTTGAGCCTGCCCCGGGCAATATTCCTGACCTATCGCCCCCTTCCATGGCGGCAAAACTCCCGCTGCCAAAGACGAGCAGATGTCATAGATTGGGGTTCCAGCGTCAAACACAATCCCGGCTGCCAGCGTCAAACACAGGCCCGGCTGCCAGCACCGAGCGCATGCTGGGTTCAGGCGTCATTTCCCCAAAAGCCCTAAAACACACGGAAACACACGGAAACACACGGAACACACCCAAGGCGGCCTGAAGCGTGCCGCAAAACACCACGCTTCGCGTGCTTGCACCCCGCCCCCAGCCCGAGAAAAACACGGCCGCACGAAAATAGCACCAGGCCTCAGCCCCGGTCCTCCCCGTCCAACCTCTGCCGCTTCATCGTCCCCCACTTGCCCGGCACATCCGGCGCGCGGGCCCGTTTCTCGGCCACCGGCGCCAACACTATGGTGTCCAAGGTCTCGCGTTGCTTCTGCTGCTGCAAGCGGGCGACCATGGCCTTGGACATCCGCGCATCCGTGTTCCGGTTGACCAGCACGCCGTCCATCTGCCTGCTCATGCCCAAGCCCACCTCGTCGCCAAAGCCGTCCATCACGGTCTGCTCCTGCGTGCCAAACAGCATTTTGTTCTGCGCCTTGCGGAGGTCCGACATCTGGAACCGCTCCTTCATCTTGCGGAACCGCCGCCCGCCCCGCTTCTTCAGCTTCTGCTCCTTGGGCACGGGGAGCGCCCTGGCGGCCGTGAGCTCGGGCGGCGCGAGGAGCTGGTCGATTTTCCGCCGGATCTCGTCTCGGTACGCCCGGCCCATGCCGCCGTCCGGCGAGCTGCGCGAGAGGTCGATGCGGGCCGCCAACACCACTTTGGCGGAGATGACGCGGAGCGCCTGTCTCACGATCTCGGGCGGGAGGCCCGCCACCAAAGGGCTCTGGTAGAGGTAGCCCGGGGCCCGCACCCACGGCGCCAGCCGGGCCTTGTGCTGCGACAGCAACTCGCGCACGCCCAACGCCGCGAGGTTGCAGGCGGGCGTCTGCGCCAATTGCGCAAGCGACCCCGTGCTGACGAGGAGCTGCGCCGTGGCCACCGGCCCCACGACCTGCGCCACGTTGGGCGCGTACTTGCCGAGCTTGCCCGCCACGAACTGCGAGATTTCCTGGAGAAAACCGCTGAGCTCGAGGCACGCGTGGCACGCGGCCGCAATGGGTGCAAAGTCGCCCGGGCTGAGCTGGAACGCCTGCGGGAACTGCTGGAGCGCGGCCATGACGATGGTGAGCACCTTGTCCGCGGCCACGATCTGCCTGAGCCGCGGCTCGTGCGCCCGCACGCCGGCCAAGTCCTGCCCGATTTCAAGCACGACGCGGCAGTAGTCCACCGGGCTGGCCACGAGCAGCTCCAACTCGGGAAACACGACTTGGTAGCGGAGCGCCACGAAGCGCCGCAAGGCCAGCATCTCGTCGTGGACCAACACCGGCAAGTCGCTCAACTGCACGAGGAACCGGTACTCGGCGCTCTGGTCCTGCTGGTGGATGCTGGCCACGAGGTCCATGTACTCGGTCTCCATCAGATCGGCGTACTTCTCGAGATCCGCGCGGATGACGGGGATGAGGGCCTGGACCTGCGAGAGCCCCAGCGCACCGCTCGTGTCCAGGGCACCCAGGGCGCTCAGGGCGTCCATCTGCTGCAATTGGCGGTCTACACTTACGCCACGGGCCCGCACGAGCAAGTCGTGGAGGGTTTCCGGGCGAGACTCCGCGTCGCCACACGCGCTTGGCGCGGGGCCGGAGTGCACCCTCGAGTCCGCCGCGTCCGACAGGCTCGAGTCGCTGTCGAAGTCGTCCATCAACGCATTTCCGTAGTCCATGAGCGTGGTTGACGAGCCTGGCCGGAACGCTTTGGTGATGGCTGGAGAAGAGCGTTGGGCAGAGGCGCGCGGCACGTGACCCGCTCCGGCGATGCGCCCCATCTCGCCCGGCCCGACGTGGGCATGGGCTCTTCCAGGGCCCATTGCATTCACGCCTGCACTGCTTTTTCCCGCCCGGCAACCTGTTTCACTGGTCCCGAAATCGTGTTTTCCCCCATGTCCGAACTTTTCAGCGTCTCGCCCGCCGGCCTCACGGAGGTGGACGGGCTGGCCAGGCTCACTGCAGGCAGCACCACTGTCCTAGTGTCTGTCTCCGGCCCCATCGAGCCGAAAATCCGCCAAGAATTGCCCACGCAGGCCAGCTTGGAGCTTATTGTGCGCCCCAGCAGGGGCGTGTCCACCACCCGCGAGAAAAACTTGGAGGACTTGATGCGCTGCGTGCTCCAGCTGGTGATCGTAAGACACAAGTACCCTCGGCAGCTCATCCAGATCGTGGTGCAGTTCTTGGCCACGGACGTCGACTTGGGCGGGACCGTGGCCGTTTCGGGCAACACGGCCAAGTCCGGCGCCGTGTTCACCGCCAACGAGCTCAGCGCCGCCATCAACTGCGCGTATTTTGCGCTTGTCGACGCCAACATTGCGCTCTTCAACTCGTTTGCCCTGGTCTCGCTTGCCGTGGACTCGGCCGGACACGTCTCGACCGGCCCCCCCTTGAAGGCCTTGCAGAGCTCGCAGAGCCACCACGTGATTTGCTTTGACATCCGGGACAGGAAGGCCCTGAAGATCCTCTTGGTGGAAAGCAACGGTGCGTTTGACGACGACACGCTCGTGTCGGTGGTGGAGGCGGCCAGCGAGTACTGTGAGACGGTGCACGCGGCTGTGCAGAGGCCGTTTGTGGAGAAGCTGGTGGCCGAGGATTTTGTATGGGCATCGTAGCGGTTGTGTTTGCGGAATGATGCTCGCTGTGTTGGATGATTCTGGGTGTGCTGTGGATTCGGGGTGTGCCATATGATCTCGGCTTGGCTATATGATCCCGGCGTGGCTGTTGCATGACTATGGCATCTTTCCTTGTAAGGAAAGGCGTCTCATGCTCGTTTCGACACTTCCATCACAGTCAACCTCTGATTGGAATCCGTTGCCCCAAACGGCAGGTTCGACAAGAAGCCGCAGCTGAAATGCTAGCGTCGGATTACTTGGCTTTTCTGGATTTTTGGCTGGCCATATTTTGCTACCTAGGGCTGCTCTATGGTACAGCGGTGATGCCGGAGTCAAACAACGAGCGCACCCTTTATAACCCGCTATACATCTGCGAATGAGTATAATTGGATTCGGTGAGGGGACGATTCATCCCTTGTTTAAGGCTTTACTCGAACGTTGCTGTGATTCGCAAGAATAGGGCTCAGAACGTATACGCATATATCATAAGGATTGTCGACAGTAGTTCTTGCTATGAGTCTGCAGCCTGAATCAAACTGATGTTTTATTTCTCAATGGTGAAACCGTAGCTGCCGGACCCTGGCTAAATCTGTGACGGAAGTCGCTGTTCGAGCTCTATACACGTAAAGTGATCGTTTCACAAATTGTTTAGTCACTTGCACTCAACACAGACTTTGCCATGCTAATAAAAAAGCTTACAAATACGTATGACGCCAAATACACTTCAAAATCTCTGTTTTCTTTCCTGAAAAAACCACGGTGTAATCCGAAGGTGTCCGAATCTTTGGTTATGAGATTACAGATTGGTTCATCGAAACAAAGACAGAGCTAATGTTCTCATACACGTCATCCTTGCAGAAAAAAAGAAGATTTGACTTTTCGCCAAGCAGAATTACTCAAATAGAAGAAGCGCCCGTGTCTGGTAGAGCTTTTCTCCACACCACTCGAAGTTCCCGAGTATCACTGATTTCGTATTCGAGCAATACAGCCACGCCTTGCAATTCTGAGACTTCATGCAAGCCCCAAAACTCATGTTCACTATTCTTATGTCGTTACGTTGCTTCTCTTGCAAAGTTTTGCGTAGGGTGTTGAGTCTGACCCAGACGCAAAACGAATATCGACTGATCCAATGGCAAAAGTGGTTCGGGAAGCTACACTTCATACATGCATCTGAAATAGTTTGTTTATTCAATATCAAGTGTCCTGGGCGGAATAAGCACTGCACCTGATACAGTCTAGTGTGAAACGAGGAAGGAGCCCGAGTCTAAGTCATTAACCGAGTATTAAAAGCTGAGGCTGGTTTTGTCTGGTCTGACCGTCAAGCTTCCAAATCCGGAAGCTACATGTAACCAGGAAATTTGCTGGGGCCGCGGCACATGTCCACAGCACATATGACTGGGTCGGTCTAACGCGATTCATTTGGGTTTCAAGACCATACGCGGCTTCAACAAGCCACATCAATGGTCTTTAGGTCATTTGCATAATCCAAGATGAGCACCGAGACAAAACTGGAATTCCACGTTCGTCCCACGTGAGCGCCTCCTTCCCTATGCCAAGGTCACATTGAGGATACCGGCAGCACTGAATGTTCCCGTAGATATGATTGGTACTCGCACGGCCGCCTCGGAAACCGCAAACAACAAGCAAACGGCAACCAATCTCCAAGGCTTTAAAAACAGAAGAGACCCTCCGTGCCACTCAGTATAGCGTGGCCAAGGGGTCCAAGGAACTCCCCCCAAAAGGCAGTCTGCGGGCCGCTTGGCCACCGCCCCCCAAAAGGTTGATCTCGCCGTTCTGGAACTTGTTGTTTGGGTTCGACTTGTGCTTGAACGTGAAGCCAATGAAATTGTTCAGGTTGGCCGCTCGGCGCCCGTTGGCCCGCGGGCCCTCCAAGAGTGTCTCGTTCTGCTCCTGCCTGGCAAACACATCCTTGTACTTCATCATGCTTTCCTCGTCTTCGAAATCGTCGAAGTAGCCGGCGTCCTCCTCGTTGTCCAACTGGGGCGTGAACGGCGGGGCCCTGTCCCGTAAGCCGTCCCAGTCGGAGATCTCACCGAAGTAGGGCTGCGCTTGCACCTGCTTGAAGTTCAGCAAGCGGCTGGAGGGCGAGGCAATGAGGCGGATGATGAGCTGCCAGGTGCGGTCGCTGAACACGTAGCGGCCGTCTCTGGTCTGCGGGCGCCTGAGCGCAGTCTTCCAGTTCTTCAAGTTGTAGTATGTCTCGTCCTGCTTCAGCCCGGAGAACGGGGGGTAGCCGCAGAGCGCCTCGAAGAGCATGCAGCCCAAGGACCAGTAGTCGATGGTGAAGTTGTAGTTCTTGCCCTCCAAGACCTCGAGCGCCATGTAGTCGGGAGAGCCCACAATGGAGTTGGCGAGGTTGTGGTGGCCCTGCAGCTGCCGGAAGAGCTGCTGGCGCTCGTACATCAGCTTGGACGGCGCCTGGTAGTGGCCAATGTCCTCCAAGCTGGCCAACTTGACGCGCATGGACTCGATGCGGTCGTTGGAAACTGTGCCTGCGGCCAAGCCGAAGTCCGTGAGCTTGATGTGGCCCTTGGAGTCGATCAAGAAGTTCTCGGGCTTCAAGTCGCGGTGCGTGAAGCCCAAGTGATGCAAGGAGTCGACGGCCGCAAACATCTCGGCGATGTAGAAGCGTGCGTGCGGCGGCACCAAGTATCCCGTGTTGTTGAGAAGCGTGCGGAAGTCGCCGCCGGGCACAAACTCCATGGCGAGGTACACCTTGTCGGGGTCCTGGAACGCGTAGAGCAACTTGACGAGCCACTCGGAGCGCGTGTTGGTCAAGATGTCGCGTTCCGTGAGCACGTGGCGCGTCTCGTCGAGCTTGACGAGCAACTTCTTGTTCAAGATCTTGAGCGCACACACCTCGCGCGTGTCCTTTTTGCGGGCTAGGAACACCTGGCCGTAGCCGCCCTGGCCCACCTGCGTGATCATCTCGAAGTCGCGGTGCTTGGGCTTCAAGCGCCGCTTGCGCAAGAACGCCCGCTCGCGGCCCACGTAGTTCTTCCACTCGAGCTGCTGCCGCTGCGGGTCGGCCATGTACTGCGGGTCCGCGATCAACTTGTGCTCCACCATGCGGGCCCGCTCGTGTCTCAGAATCACGTAGTCGAACATGTCGCAGTAGTAGTCGAGGAAGTAGAGCTGCGCCACGGACGTGAGCCGCTTGGTTTTGGCCGTGTTGGCGCGCTGCTGGAAGTCCGCCGGCAACAATGCGTTGGGCGGCTGGAGGTGGGAGATGTTGTTGTGCAACTTGATGTTCTGTTGCTGCGGCGCGGCGGGCCGGTGCAGTTTCTGGAGCGGCGAGGTGTGGAGCACCAGTTTGGTGGGCGAGTTGGCGGGCGTCACGTTTTCCTTTTCGTAGGGCGCCTTGCGTGGCGGCAGCCGATACGACGTGTCCACGTCCATCATGTTCAGCGAAAACGACACGTTTTCCAACGACTGCGAGATGTCGCTGACGGCGACGTCGTTCTTGCGGGGCGACCTGAAGAACGCCATGTGATGATGCGGGCGGGGCGAGAAAGTGGGCTGGGGAGGATGGCTTTGTGGGGACAGTGTAAGGGATCCCTGTTTTGATCACTGTTTTGATCACTGTTTTGATCACTGTTTTGATCACTGTTTTGATCACTGTTTTGATCACTGTGATGGGTCCCTCTTTTGATCACTGATTTGATCACTGACTTGATCACTGTGATGGGTCCCTGTTTCGATCACTGATTTGGATCACTGAATCACTGGATCACTTTTTGGATAACTGTTTTGGATCACAGATTTGATTCACAAATTTGGAACACTGTTTTGGAAAACTGCTTTGGATCACTGGCACACTATTTTGATCGCTCTTTTGGTCGCTCTTTTGATCGCTCTCTTGGTCCCTGTTTTGACCACTTCTGATCACTGTGTTGGGCCACTGTTCTGATCACCGGATCACTGATTTGCTTCACTGATGATCACTGATTTGAATCACTGATCTGGATCACTGACTTGTTTCACACTAACTTGGATCAATGGATCACTGATTCAGATCACTGATTTGATCTTCGTCTCGATTCACTAACTTGATTCACTGATTTGCTTCACTGATGATCACTGGTTGAATCACTGAATCACCGTTTTGATCACCGTTTCGATCACTATTCTGATTTCTGTTTAGGATCACTGATTCTATTGCACTGTTTCAGTGTCTGATTCACGGCTCTAGCTTATATAAGTCGGTCTCCCAAAGCAGCGCTGATCTCACCACAGACACGAGCTGGATTTCAGTAAACGAAGGCTATGCTAGGATTACTGGCGGCGGGCTGGCTGCAGTATATCAGATATTTCGTAATGCTGTCAAAGATAAAAACTGGCTGGTAGTCACTAAGAACGGGACTCACAAACCAAACAGGGTCTGTAGTAGAAGGAGAATGCGCAAGCGAAAAGAACCTGGAGCACACGAAGCGAAGTATTTACAAAGAAGCCGTTTCAGGCAAATGAGACGTGATCCATGCAGGCATGTCGTGGGGCGCCGTGCAGCAAGTTGATCCAAGGCGCAATGTCGCGACGCGTCGCCCCAATCGCGGCTTCACGAAAGGGTATGTTAATATTGGTGTTTCTTTCGCTGCCTGACTCGATTTCATTGCAAGCAATTTCAAGTGTCCGATAACTATCATCACGTGGCTTATCCCATCGAGAGAGATCCAAGTGTGTCAAAAACTCGTGATTTTCTTGGTTGCGCGAGGCATGCTATGGTGCTCATTTCTGGCACCAATGTTCTTTAGATGTTTTCAACTGTTTAAATTTAAGTCCCTGAGTGAATCTCGCGTGCCTTGAGGATTCCAAGGCCAGCTCGCAATATGGCCTTAGTGTTTTTGCGCTTGTTTACCGTAGTATCTTTGCACTTGTTTACCGTAGTTATCATCAGGCTTTGTGAGTGATTCACGCTTTACATTCTTGCACATACCAGAATCTTTTAATTTGAGCTTACAAGTTTCACAGCAGGACCCAAATCGCACCGTAAAAAAGTTGACATCATACGCTGAGATAAGTGAATGTGGTGGCATTAGATCAATGCCAAATACTTCCGACAATTTAAGAAACCTTGGTTGGTTTGTCAAAGTGGTTCGCAGGGTTTACTTGCTTAGGGTCCAGGAGGCAAAGACAAATGTACGTTTTGCCGTCTTATCGAGTGGACTAGGTCACGGACCCTCAGGAAAACATATTCTATGGGACGATGTCATTTAGTTAATTTTATTCAAGTTGTTGACATTGGTTATGGGCAGAGTCGTTTTGAGGGTCACATCCTCTTTGGGAGATTTTGTGAATTGGTGCTCGCGCCATTTCACCTGAGCCAATGTTGCGATCTATTAAAGGTCTTTTCTTTATGTGATTTTTGTTAGTGGTGGGGCTCTACATCTCTCTAGTGACACCCTATAATATGATGTTCCTTCGAAAAAAATAATTGAGCCATTTCTCATGTCTTGCGCTGCCTGTTCAAATAAGAATAAATTAGATGGTTCACGCAAACACAACCTTTCACCTTTCAAACATACATCTCGTTATTTTCGAATAGCAAAACTTCCAGAATTCTTGGGCTGTCAATATCATACCCAACCGTCCATACCTAAAATAATCCCCGAATGAAAATGAAGAAAGATGATTTGGATGTGCGTTGTTGCAGGACACCGACAACACTGCTCAAACAGTAGTCAGCTCAACCACAAACCATTTGAAGAAACATCTGTATATTCATTGAAATTCAGTGGCTGTCTACCCAGGGGTCGAATCATGAGACAGGTTTCACCCAAGAAACATAACAAGACAAAGCTGGGCGATCGTTTCGGGCATAGCCCATTTCAGGTAATATGTCCAATACGAACCAACGCTCAGAATTCCTGCAAATTTTCCTTACAGCCTCGCTTATGCTTTTGTGATCACTTTGCTATAAAGCGAAAATCTTGTAGTAAGTCTCCGTGCTTTGGGGTGAACCCCGAGCGTGATTCTTAAATTATTGAAGGAGCAAAACTATACAAAAAATGTATACTAAATCTTTAAACAGCTTCCAGCTACGTACTGTTTACGTATTGGATATTACATCATCTAGTTTCATCTCAGATGGCTCGAGAAGACTTGAGAAGCTTACTAACTGCGAGTCGCCACGTGTTTGACTGTATTCCTTGAAATGCGTGGTGACGAACCAAATTTGTTTTCTGAAGTTCTTCAAAAAATTGTCGGCCGTAGTCAAAATTTTGCTTTAACTAATGGGCTTAGCAAATTTACGCTCTTGCCCCCAGTATTTGAATGTTTCACAGTTGTTGAAGATTTGGATTAGGAAAGCTTCTGTGGCATCTCCGTTGTTGTGGATCTGATGGATACAAAAATTACACTGGAAATCCAATGTTTGACGTGGTAGGGTCTTGTGGGGGTCTTACGATCCGTTGTCAAGGTGATTAAAGAACGATAGATCGTATCACTTCAATTATTCTGCCTTATAAAAGGCTTTCCAAAAGTGGTTACACTGTTTTGACGGACCGCGGAACATAAGCGAACAAAGCGATGTTGCTGCCCTGGCGTTTTGAGGCTGGATTGTTCGAAATCCTCCTTGCTAATGGCTTTCTGCTCTGCTTTTTCGAGCCGTGGTCTTTCCTAGAATTTGCTTGACCTCCTCATTATTATATCCTGAGCGTTTCCTAGATATCGGTATGGTCCTTGTCCTAAGGACGAATTCTTACCATGCTTCAAAATAAGCAATTTCGTTTTTCGTGAGAATACAATCCAAGTGAGTGAAGAATCGACCCATCTTATCGAACATGAAGCTTTACCATTCGGAAGTGGCTATAGTTCGTAGTGTGGCATGTTCGTTTCTCGATACGATTTTATTCATGTGATACAATTGCTTCTTGGGTCATGGGTATGGAACCTAAGCCTGTGTTGATTCCGGTAATTTTCGTAACTCACCATCGTATGTTACTTTCGTGCATGACTCTCTTCCCACTGCCAGCAATAAAGATTTATTAATCCGCCAGGCCTAGGGTGCTTGTACCAAGTCAGGGTTACACAATCTGTAGATGGAACAAAAATATTGTATGCTCTTCCATGCTTTGAGCAAAATAAATGTGGGTTGAGGACTAGCAATTGCTTATCTGTGACACAATCATGGACGGAGCATCTATCAGTAGATGACATTAGGATATTGCCATGTGGTCAGCTAACAATCATCATTGTCGAAAAGGTTCAGAACCCGCCTACAGCATACTTAAGGCTTGGTATGATCTACTCAGTTTTCATGGAAAAGGTCTTCGATTGAAGTCCGGACACGTTTGTTTTTCTTATGCCAATTTCTGGTTTAAATTTATGGACTGGCTGCTTATCTTAAATACACTATTTCGATCACATGAGACTGTAGACTGACAACAAATTAGTAGCCAAATGCACTCTGCATATTATGTATAATGTATGTTTGATACAATCGAGAAGAAGCAGATTAGAACTCTAGGAAATCAACGGGATTTGAGACACCTCCTGCAAATCCAAGAATTCTTATACTTGATGGTTTTTAGCTAGAGGGCACAGTCTGTGGCACGGTAGGTGTTCGATTTTCATGTATTTGCCACTTGTGAGACTTGACATAGATGTCGATCCGCGAATCGACAGCCTGATTTCGCAGCCATACTTTGTTAGGCCGCCGACTGCAAAAATGAATTTGCCCATATAAACGAAGATTCGCTTTTTTTTATCCAAACACTCTTGTACCTCTCCATCTTTCATGAACACACGCTTCACGATGATTGCACAAGTCTTTTACTGCTTCAGACTCATAAACTGCGTTTCGGAATTCGCCGGGCTCTGCCTCACGGGCTATTTTCTTGTCGTGCTCCTTCTTGAACTCTCTGTCCAGACAGAATCTCCTGCCATGGACTTGACAGCTGTTCAAATCAAAGAATACTACTCTGGCCCCTCTGAGGCTAAACTAGAGATTCAGACTCATGGTGAAAACACCAATGATGATCTCATCTCTGTGCAAATTGCTGCTGCCTCTACTCCCTTTCATTCCAAATATTCAAGAGCCACAGAATCGGACTGCTCTCCTCCCCTCTCTCCAACAAGCGACGGTAGCTTTTTGGAACTTTCTGACGGAGACACTGGTGCTTCTTCCGTTCTTTCTTTCAAATTTGACTCAAAGCTTGGCTCCTCGGCTGGTGGGTTCTTTATGAAGCCAGCCGTAGTTGTAGACTGCACTGAGAATGATGAGAATGAAAGAACACAAGGAAACTTGTCCCTGAACAGCAACTCTATTTTCAGTGAGGAACCTGAGATCCCCAAAGTAGAAAACATTGCTCTGCTGTCTGCCGCTCGCCCAGATATTGATATGGATTCTGGGTGGCAAGTCCAAGGGAGAAAGCGCAGAAATTCTGGAAAAAGGACTGGTGCAAAAGTGGGAACAGTTTCTGGGACTGAGGCGCTTGTTTCGAATAAGCAACATGCCAGTGCAGAATCTGCTGTTTCCAAATCTCATTTCTCTAATAACCCTTTTCTGGTTTTGACCGACAACAATGAGAATGACTACCAGGAACCACACCCAAGCAGACCACACAAGAAAGTTTGCGGAAAGCTCGAGCTTTCTTCTCTTGGAAACGTGATCCCTGCCAGCTCTCTGGCTATGAACTTGACTATGGACAACTACAAAGTTCTGATAAAGAATACAGTCACCAATATGTTGGACATGACTTGTGAATCTATTGATGGAGAAGGTCTGGTACTCATCCAGGATTTCACTCAGAATTTGCTTCCGGAATCTTCCCGAGACGCAGGAGAAGATCCACATTTGGGCTCCAAACAAGTCGGAACTGAAGTGGAAATGTCTGATATTCTTGTACCTGATATTTCTGATGACGGTTGGAAAGTTCAAGGCAGAAAACGCAGAAGTTCCCGGAAAAGACCTGAACCAAGCGTCATTATGGCAACAACAAGAGGATCAGACCTGCTTGATCAGAAAGGTTTCTTGGGATCAAACCCGTCAATGAAACAGCCCTCCTCTAATTTGAATCCTTTCCTGGTGTTGGCCGAAATAAGCGAAGAAGATTTTCAACAAGCCACACTAAGAAGATACTTGCCTCTCAAAAACTGAAAATGCTGTGGCTTTAAGTTTATTGTTCGCGACTGATTTCTTCGTATCAATTTGCTAGCCACAATGATGGTAGACTGATGGTGTTGAATGAAGTAAGCTGCATCTTCCATCTAATTTTCAAAAAAAAGTCAAAAAGAAGAAAACAAAAAAGCCAAAAAAAAAAAATAACAGAAGTACATTGCAGGGGTCTTCGCCTTTTTGATGTTCTCTTCATTCAGAAGATATATAGTAATCAACAAAACTCTACATTTCCGATTCGCTAGAAAGTCTTGATGATCGATGTTAGAAACACGGAACGCTTTTCATTTTCATAAAAGTTACAAATGTTGCCCCATGCATCTTCTCAGCTGCAGAAAGATACCGACTCTATTGAATAGAAAGCCTTCTCGCAACGAAGATCATAAATATATCCGTGGCAAAGGTTTTTCTTGTAGGTTGTATTGATAGTCTTTCCGTGTATGAGTTTCCGTCTTCGACTTAAGTTACGGGGCAGATTTATCATTACAAGCTTAAATCTTATGATTTCAAGAAAAATTCGTCGATCAGGCAAAAGGTCCTTGTCCTGGTGCTAATGACCAGTGGGGCACTCCATATTTACCAGTATCACAATCCGAGGCAATTATTGAAGTGTCCTTCAAAGGTAATCTGTTTCAGGACCTCTTTGTCTTTCATTAACGATGGATGGCATTATTTTCTATCGAAAATGTATGAATGATCCAAGTGGGAAAGTGTTTAGTACGATGCTTGGATCACTCGAGTTGCAAGCAATGTACGTATAAAGCTTGTCGTCATTACTATGGCGCTATCGGCTTAAAGACCAAATGATGGCAGAGCTGGTAGTTGTTTTGCTTGGTGCAAGTCTGGTCAAAGAAAAATACTCAAATTGATATTCATCTGCATGGTGAAGAAGCGATTCCAGCAACTGTCAGGTCAGATGTTTGTGCCTGTTACGGCGCCTTGAATCAAATGGAAAATCAGAAACAGCCACTGGCAAGTGGACCTACCGCTTATTGTGTATAATGTCCTTCACTGGTCCTTCATTAATCAGTGCTTTTGAAACAATTAGTTCCCGCCCCGGTCTTTGCTTTACCATATAACGAATTGGCAATTTCTATGGCTGACTTTAGGAATAGCCCACTCAGCTAGCTTCTCGAAACCACAGTCTAATTTGCAAAACGAATCATGCAAATAGAGCATATCTTGCTCTCAATAGCTCAAAGTAGCCTAATAATGCTGATACCGTAAAGCAAACCGTGAATGTAACTGCGGTATACCTCAAAGACGGGTTTGTCAATGTGAACGAATTTCGAAGCTAGGATCCAATTGAAGTTTATTCGTTCATGCTGCCAAGGTGGTTCATCCTCGGGAAACTCCCACAACTTTATTTTCGGTCGAAAGGAGTGCTCGCCAACTGGCCCATACCCAACTCCGAGAGTTTTGCTCAATGTGGGGCAGGTCGTTGCATCTCTATTAGGAAATGCCTGTCTCTATTCTAGCGCGGACTTGGCCAAGCACTCTCGCCACTATTACTCGTAATTGACCCCACTGGAGCCCGGCGTTCCTGCCCCTAAAAAAAAGAACCAATCGAAATCTTCTTTTTTTGGGGAGCAGAATCAAGGATCGTCAGGAAATTCCGTTGCCCTCCCCACAAAACTTTCAGAACAACTAAACCCAAATTGAGCAGGAACCCTTTTCGGCTTTCGAATCCACTATGCTGGAACTAAACAGTTCACTCCAGAAAGCAGATTTCGGCTTGCAGGGTCAGTGTCTTTAATTTACTTTTTTTTTTTGCACATCTCCAACTTACAAGAAAGCGTGTGTTTTGAAAAAAAGACTGGCGGCTATTCTGGCGGATGAAAATGCTGCAATTTTGGGGGGTTTGATGGCGCGTGCTTGTATGCGTCTTTTTGTGGTGTTACGCTTTGCTTTGTGGTTGTTCGTTTTTTACTGTGCCCTCCTCGGGCGCGTAATTTGAGCATCTGTTATTTGATTATGCGCTTTGATAATGCGCTGGCTGATAATGCCGTACTGCTTGGCGCAATGTCTAATGTGGTGGGGCAGCCAAGACCGGGGTTCTCCACTTTGATGGAAAGTGGTTTTTTTTACAAGCCCCGTTTTCCTAGACAGGCATCACTTCTCGGTAGCACCGCGTTAAAGTCCGAGAATCCCCGGCCGCCTTAGGCCAGAGAGCTGGCGCCACCGCGACTTCCCCACAAACCAGAACACCACTATGCAGGCCGACAAGGCCCCTGTGCCCTTGCTCGGACATAGACACGAGTTCCGAGGTTGACTTAGGCGTTTAATTGATCATACCGGCATTTACGCCGTCTTCGTTGTGGTGGCAGTCACCTTGAGTTGAGCTGGTGTAATCTCAGTGATGTCTGCACACCATAGGCATTCCGCCGCGCAAGCACATTTCAGCATAGAGGATTTTTTTTTCAAATTTGTGGTGCGTTTTTCGATGAGCTGGGTGGAGGTGCCAGGTGGGGGTGAAGCCAGCCAGAACCGGGGGCTGCGCATAATTTTTTCTGGCAATACGAGTGATTAGACTCGCGGACTCGCAGAACCGGGGGGCGCAGGGCGCAGGCACAGACCCGTGCACCAGGCTCCCAGCCCTCTGAACCCGCAGACAGGCCCTCGGAACTGCGCAGTCCGCGCGAAAAATTGCAGAAAAAAAAACGGCTAACCCCACAACTGTTGTGTACGGCCCACCACGGCCTCGGGTCTATATATAAGCGCATCGCCATCACCAGTCAAGACAATGGCCTAACAATAATTCATCTGACACAATCAAGCCCAGGCTCGGAACTCAATCAGAATATTCGCGCATTGCCCAAGACTCGCTCTACTTTCCCCTTTTTCTTGAGACAAATTTACCTGCCGTGTAAATCTCGAGTGTGACTCCTTATTGCTTTTGCGCAGCCCTTTTACTTTTTGCGCCCCCCTCCGGCTAGACCAACAGCACTAAATTTACGATAAAAATGTCCGACTTGGAAGCACAGCAATCACAGCCCCAGGCCCTCAACTCCCGCGACGTGCCTGTGACACGCGTGGTGCATGACGACCAGTACATCCACTTTGGCAGTGAGCGTTTTTTGAAGAGCGACCTCGCATCAGCCTTCGGTGGTGAGATGAACCCCGGTTCGGCACCTGCCCCCAAGCACAACTTGGCCAACCCTGCGCCCCTTGGGCTCTCCGCCTTTGCGTTGACAACTTTTGTCTTGTCGTTGATCAACTTTGGTGCACGTGGTGTCACGGTGCCAAATGTCGTTGTGGGCTTGGCGTTCTTTTACGGCGGAGCCGCGCAGTTTGTCGCAGGCATGTTTGAGTTGGCTGTGGCCAACACTTTCGGTGGCGTGGCTTTGCTGTCGTATGCCGGCTTTTGGTGTTCATGGGCGGCAATCCAGGTGGACTCCTTTGGCATTGTGTCGGCGTACGGCGGCGACGACCAGGAGTTGGCATACTCGCTTGGTATTTTCTTGATGGGATGGTTCATCTTCACGTTTTTCTTGACGGTGATGACATTGAAGTCGACGCTTGCGTTCTTCTTGCTTTTCTTCTGTTTGAGTCTCACGTTTTTGCTTTTGATGATTGCCGAGTTCAACGGCTCGGTCAATGTGAAGAAGGCCGCGGGTATTTTCGGCATTCTTACTGCGTTCATCGCATGGTACAACGCATACGCCGGTATTGCCAACTCGCAGAACACCTACTTGACTGTCAGAGCAATTTCGTTGCCCGACCTCCTGAAGTAGGCCTCTGAGATGGCGTCTCTGAACGAATAATTCTGCATTGCGCGGCTGGAAGACGAAAGGTTCGGCCGTTGGTGGTCAGAGAGACTTTCTCGAGAGGGTGAGCTATATACTGTTTATGAATAACTTGAATGCAACTTAACTTATTGACCCTTACATGATTTGTAGTTGTGCCCTTGACATCAGCTTGTGAAGATCCGAGGTCCGGCTGAAGTGCGTTGATTGTGGAATCGGCAAGAATATCACGTGTGAACCGTGGTCGTGGGTGCGGTTGCAAGTTTGCTAGTCGGTTTGTCCATGCCGCTGGTCGATCAGCTCATAACCAGACTCTGGAGTGGAGCCCCAAGGATGTATCCAAAATTGCGAGATGTTGGGCGATATGCCCGCTTCATCAGCCCCTTTTCAAAGTGTATCCGGCGGTGTTCTTGCCCCATGGATGAAGGCGGATTCAGCTGGATCGACCAATATTCTTGGTCTATCGCTGAGCGTATTGTTAAACTCTATCCGCACATATCGGCGCCCCCTCCACAAGAAGCCAATGTCCAGCGACAGCCACATTATTCTTGATCCATCGCAGCCACCCCTAAAGATAAGCAGACCGGGCCTTCGTATAAGCTCGACGAGCATTGTGTTGACTGCTGTTCCTGCCTTGCACATGGCCGCAAGACCCGGCGCATCCGTAAACACGCTTGGGCATTGGACGGCCCTATTATTAAACTCTATTGGGCCATCATATCCTGGGACGAACACGGGCCGCCATACCCAACAATACTCAGCGCCAGCCCGCAGGATTCTTTGCTTCGGGTGCATCTCATTATTGAAGCCTATTTGCCAATTTGCTTGATCCTTGGGCCCGAAGCCACTTATTATTGAAGTTAATTTGCACGCACCCAGCGGCCTGTGCAAAGCCCCAGGGCGCCATTCCGCGACACCACCCATGCGCAGCCAGAGGGCAACGCTCAGCCGCGCGCGACGCATGGCGCTGCGCGCGCGCGGCTTGCCTGTGTTTGTATTTCTGCTTGAGTACAGGATATTCCAACTCAATGTCCTGTCCACAAGTGGTTCCCAACTGGTACAGTTGAGATATCGGATTCGACATGATGTACTAGCGTGTGGAAATAAACCTTTATTTAGGAAAAACTAAAACCACTTTTGTGTCAACTGACCTTCTAAAAAAGATCTCTAGAGGGAATTCTCTTCCCTTCATATACTCGTCGTGCTATTTGGTTCCGGGTAAGTGGTGCGAACTTTAATGTCTCATTTGTCACATGATTAATTAGGGCTAAGCGTCTAGTTCTCACAGCCTGCAGGCCCGCGTGGCATTCCAGCGCTTTCCCTGCCGTTCGCCGCGCCAGCTGCTGCAGCCGGGCAAATTGCCGAAGCCGCCGCAGAAGAGATGCGCCGGGCCTCGTGACGCTTAAAAGGCCTGCTCCGGCGCTCCAGAT